GATTGATATTGAGGAAACTTTGGGGTGTAAAGCGTTAGTCATTGTGGAGGACACGAATGCAGTGCTTGCTGTGTTAGCTGCTTCGTTTTATAGGCATCCGTCTAAAAGTATGTCTGTGATTGGCGTTACAGGAACTAATGGAAAGACTACAACTTCTTACTTAATAAAGGCAATGTATGGAGCAATGGGGTTGAGGACGGGCATGTTGAGTACAGTAGGGTATTATATATATGGGGATAACAAGTTAGAGTCCCCTCATACAACCCCTGATGCAGTTTTGGTTCAGAAACTGATGGCAAAGATGGTTCATAATGGGACTGAGGCATTGGTTATGGAGGCTTCTTCTCATGGATTGGCATTAGGTCGGTGTGATGAGGTTGATTTTGACATTGCAGTTTTTACCAACTTGACGCGGGATCACTTAGATTTTCATGGGACTGAAGAGGAGTATAGGGATGCTAAGGCTAAGTTGTTTGCTAGGATGGTGGACCCAGCACGGCACCGCAAGATTGTGAATATTGATGACCCTAATGCAGCTTTCTTTGTTTCACAAGGAAACCCAGATGTGCCTGTTGTGACTTTTGCAATGGACAATAAGAGTGCTGATGTTCATCCTTTAAAGTTTCAGTTATCTCTCTTTGAAACTCAAGTGCTGGTCAACACACCTCAAGGCATATTGGAAATATCTTCTGGTTTGCTTGGAAGGCATAACATCTATAACATTCTTGCAGCAGTTGCTGTTGGAATTGCGGTTGGGGCACCTTTGGAGGACATTGTCAAAGGTATTGAAGAGGTTGATGCAGTCCCTGGTCGATGTGAGCTGATAGATGAGGAACAGGCTTTCGGAGTAATTGTAGACTATGCTCATACCCCTGATGCTTTATCAAGACTACTTGATTATGTGAGAGAGCTTGGCCCTAGGAGGGTTATAACTGGTAAGCAATCAGCAACTTCTTCTTCCCTCTTCCATTCAGCAAGGGTGCATTTAAATGCCCACGTTAGAACAGAAAGTCTCTGCTTTTTCTATGCATGCTTCTCTGCATAAGAACATAGGTGGAGCAAATCTCCAAGCTTCACGTTTGGAAAGTTTTCATGTTCTTAGAATGGTGGTTTGTTTATAGACATAGACATACACACATGTAAATCTACATGATTTCTTCCTGTATGAAAAGAAATGCAAGGAATAGAGCAACGACCTAGAAGTTATATGTATACTTTGTATGTCGTTTTTGAGAAAAGTTAATCAAGTCCCACATAGTAATTTTGTTGAAGGATTTTGAGATATTTCAAGACAGTTTTCCTGGTGGGGCATGTTTGAACATGCCCGACGATTACGATTATAAACCAAGCTAGTCCACAAAGTTAGAGGTGTTGGCCTGCAGAAGTTTCCAGCTACCCTTGACACTACCTTGTGTTTCCCTAAAGCATGAACCAAATTTGTTTTCACCATTAACTGTCATCCCCTTTTGTCCTTATTAACATTTCTCATTAATGTTTTCAAATTTTCTTTTCTGTTATCTATTATTTTTTACTAAGGTGTAATTCTTTGCTTGAAGTTTTTGGTTGTGCTGGAGAGAGCGACAGAGGGAAGAGACCCATAATGGCAAAGATAGCAACAGATAAAAGTGATGTGACAATTCTGACATCTGACAATCCAAAGACTGAGGATCCTTGTAAGTATCATAGGTTGAAGAAGATGTAACAGAGAAGGTTTCTGGAAATCATCATATTTGAGATTATTTGTCTGTCTTTCTCTTTTTCACTATAAGATCACAGATCTCTGAAATATGCATTGGTGGTTGCCGATCTGTTCTTACAAAAGTAGTCTCTTTCAGTTTCTTATCTGATATTACATGTGCTGCACTTAAGCTGGATTTTGATCTCTCTTGTTTACTTGTTGTCTGTCTTCTCTTATCTGCTGTGGCACTGTTTAGGCACTCAATTCCTATTAGATTAGTGTCGATTTTGCTTTCTTGACATGTCTGGGTGTCGACACTGAAGCTATATCATCTTATCTTCTATCAGTGGACATCTTGGATGATATGTTGGCTGGTGTAGGATGGACTATGCAGGACTACTTGAAATACGGAGAGAATGATTATTACCCCCCTCTCCCCAACGGCCATAGACTCTTCGTACATGATATCAGACGTGTCGCTGTGCGCTGTGGCGTTGCCATGGGTGAGGAAGGTGATATAGTTGTAAGTTACTTGTCACCATTCTTCTTCATTTGTCCTTGTTATTTGTTTTCAAAAGCTAACCGATGGTACAGGCTACAACTTATATGGGTAAAACATATTCATAATAGAAGTCCTCACCAGGCAATTCAATTTTATTTGTGTTGTTTAATCCGGTTCATGTTAACCACCCTGCAGGTGGTTGCTGGCAAAGGCCATGAAGCATTCCAAATAGAAGGTGAGAAGAGAGAATTTTTTGATGATCGAGAGGAATGTAGAGAAGCTTTACAGTATGTTGATGAACTTCACCAAGCTGGAATTGACACAAGTGAATTCCCATGGCGGTATGTACCTTTGTCTTCTGTCTCAATGTTTTAGTGTAGTTGAGGTCTTCATCTACGATAAAAGGAAGATTCTTACCTTGCTGTTTGCGAGGACAATATTTTCTAGTTCCCGTTTGGTAGCTTAAGGATTAGAGGTTATTGTTTTCAAGTCGTTTCTCATGGCTAACACCACACATACCCAATCGTTTTCTTCATAAAGGGAGGAAATGAAAACGCTGGAGTACGAATGAAATTGTTAGTTTGATAGGACGAGGCCAACTTTAATCCTGGCTGTATAATTAACCCTCTTATTGCTATGCTTCTGTAGGTTACCAGAGAGTCACTGATACAATGCTATAAGGTGTATGTTAAGATCTTGACAGTGTGCTGACGGCAGATAGCCATTCTGGAGTGCCCATTAAATTTGAATCAACATTGTAAGTTTCTTGGCGTCCCACCCGCTCTTCTCCCTTCTGTCTTTTCACAATCTGGAAACGTGAAAGCTACTTCATTTCCTCTTAGTTCTGATCTTTTTCCCTGAAGTAAATAGGATTTACGTGCCTTTTCTTTTGGGCAGATTAACATTTATGCCGCCATTAGATGGTGATTTTCTAGAGAAACGGCAACACAACGCCCAAAGCAAACTCCAGTTTTGTAAGAACCTATAGCCTGATTTTGACTGGGATCTCCATATCTAGAATGAGATTCATTAAGGGGCTTCACGGCTCTCCCACCCTTCATTGAATTATGTTTGTATAGGGAAGTACATAGAGATGAAGAGCAATTATCGAGTTGAGATGCTGTTCTGCTATTCCAGATTACGATTTCCTGTAATAGTGGAAGTTCTTTCTTCAACAACTGCTATATGAACAAAAAGCTACACCCTTTGTATTAGACACAGCCAAATACTGCCTCTGATGCATAAATGGTCATCTACCGAGTGATTTCCAGTACTTATGCAGGTGGGAGGTTTACTTGTTCAAATAGTCCAAGTGTGCACAAGTTAGTTTAGCCGTTACCATTATAAAAAAATTCTCTGTTATCTCTTCTCTTTTGTCTACTTTCTAGTACACTAACTTGACGGTGTCTCTCTGTCTGCCTCCTGAGCCCTGCACAGAGTTAGATTCTTCATCTTTTTAACTCTGAAAAATACATCTAAAGCACTATATTTCACAAGCAATGTAAGACAAGAAAAGGCTCTAGTTAGTTTGTTCATCTAAATAATACTATATGTAACCCACTGCATATAAGGGTGCGGTCCAATGATCAATAAGGCAGAAGCAAAAAAGTAAACACTAAGAAACTTCTTATTTATCTAAGCTTGAGCAGAGTTATTTGGCAACTATATTGGTAGGAGGTAGTAGATTTCCCATGGAATAGTTGAGGTGTGCACAAATCGCTCTTAACACTATAATCATCGCTTAAGCTGTGCAGATTCTTCACTTTTCATGTCGTATGTGTCAAATTCTCTAAAAATACACTATTTTGGAGAATTTGACACACATTCGTTTTAATATTTTTGAAGAGTCCGAGCAATACAAGTCATCGCATCAAATTCCACCAGCATGCTATATACTATGCAAGATGCATACACGATCAGCCCAAATTGGGAACAAGTTGAAACATATTTTGAAGTTCAACCAAATTTGTCACATCATGTTTTTGCCTCTTTTAATTTGATGGTGATATATAACAGACAATGAAAAAAACATAATGCATTGTCTTTAATTATTTGAAGAATGTTATTCTGAAAATTATTGGAATTGAACATGCCCCAACTATAAAAAATTGTCTTTGTTTATTTATACTTATTAGTAATTTCATCCACAGAAAAATCCAAACTTCTAGAACAATTTTTACTTTGTAAAAAGATTAAAAAAAAAGTCACTCATCAGCAATCAAAATCATATAAGCAGATTTTGAAAATCACTATGATAGGACAATTGAAAATGACAGAGGTGAAGAGCTTAGAAGCATAATAAATAATATGTTCATAATATTCTACTCTTATATTAAGATCAAAAATGAAATTTCCTTTTTTCTTTACCTTATAGTCCTTACCTGAACTAGAAATCGAAAGGTCACATTTTTATCTGGCGAAGTATTAAAAACATCCCTAAATTCAATTTGAATTATTGGTTTGATTTTTAAATTATTGACAGACTTAAAAATACTTTTTACTTAACTAACTGAACATGAATACACCTTTGGTGTTGTGACATGAGTGAAATACACCCTTAAATTCTCATCAAATTTAAGGGTGTTTTCAACACTTCTTTTTATTTTTTTATTAAGAGTCTCATGCTCCTACAAGAGTTTGAGATCACTTACTATGTAACGTGATAGATCAGAAGTGTATTTACGTTTAATTAATCAAGTAGAAAAAAAGTGCTTTTGAAATTGTCAATAGCTCGGAGATGAACTTATTAATTTACGACAAATTCAGACGGGATTAAAGATAGCATTATTAACAATGAATGAAGGTTATAATGAGCTAAACGACGTCGTATAAGTCCATCAAGGCTCATGCTCGTGATTGTCAGTAGCTCTTCTTGGAAAAACAGTAGATCCAAAGTCCACTCATCAAACTCATAATTTTACCCTTTGAATTCACCTTTTGTATGATTGAGAAGTAAATAGTAGTTCCCTTTTTCTTCTCTGATTCTTCATATTTTCAAGAATTGTGTGTTTTTCTGTAAATACATTTGTATGGTGATGAGCTAGCTGTGAACCCATCAAGAAAAAGGGGAATTTTTTTATTGAAATTAAGAGAATCCCCATGGATTTTCTGAGAATTACTTCTCTAATTTTCATCTGTGGAGTTCTACTGAACTTTCCTGCTATAGTTACAGCTGGTGATATTGTTCATGATGATGACTTAGCTCCCAAGAAGCCTGGTTGTGAGAATGATTTTGTGCTGGTATACTTTTTTTCTGAGTTTCTAATGTTTGATTTTTCTTCGACCCAGTATGTTTTAGTTGATTAACTTATTTGGGTTTCTTTTAGTTTTGTGTGTTTTAGTTTTGGTTGTTAAAGGTGTTGGTTTTAGCTTGATGTGATGTTACTTTCATTTTCTCAGCTGGGATTTTTCAATTTTGTGTGCTTTTGCTTTGTTGTACTCGGGCTAGTGAAAATTTAGCTGTAAAAGATGTTATCTTTAGCTTGATGCAATGTTACTTTCGTTTTCTCATCTGGATTTACTCTATTTTGTTAGTTTTTCGCGTTCTTGGGTTCGGACTTATGAACATTTAGCTATGAAAAAGTGTTGATTCTAGTTTGATCCTATGATACTTGTAATTTTCTCAAGTGGGTCTCCTGTAATTTTATGTTGTGCTTGGACTAGTGAAAATTTAGCACTAAAAGGTGCTATTTTTAGCTTGATCCTAAGTTTTTTTTGGATAAGGTAAAGTGTTTTATTGATGATTATTGATTAGTATTAAGAAGGTACTTTAAAAATACAGCTTAATCCTATGTTACTTCTATTTTCTCAACTAGGTGTCCTCTAATTCTTTTTTGGGTTTCACGGTGTTGCTCGGACCAATTAAACTTAGCTATGGAAGGTGCTGTTTTTAGCTTGATCATATGTTAATTTAACTTTATCAACTAGGTTCCCTCCATTAAAGAATACTTTTAGCTGGATCATGTCTTGCATTTTTCTTTTTCAACTGGTTTCCTCTATATTGTTCGGTTTTGCTTTATTGAGTGTGGACTGATGAAAATTCAGCTGTGACAGGTGCTGTTTTTAGCATGATCCTCTGTTAATTAATCTGTCGAGTGTCGATTAAGTTATGTCCATCCAAAGTTCCATTTTCTTTTCCGCCTCTTTTGATGTTTTAAGTTATGATTTGATTTTCTTGTTAGGTGGTAATCTATTTACTTTCAAAACAATATAGATCTTGTCATCTTGAGGCAAAATGTGAAGATAAGAACATATTTTCGGAAAGTTCATATAGTATTGATTGCATATGCTACATTATGGACCTAATGTTACATATTCTGTTAAGCTGCTGGAGTGCAGAACTTTTCATTGTCTAAACAAACATCTTTATTTAACATGGTTATGGAAGAAGTTAACTTTTTTGATTTAGCTTGGTGGTGCTTTAACACTTGCAAAGGTTTATTCATGGTATCCTTTGATTGTCTTTTGTCCATGGTATCTTCCAGTACTTACCTGACGAGTGCTGATTTTTTGGTTAGGTGAAAGTTCAAACTTGGATTAATGGGGAAGAGGATGCAGAATTTGTTGGTGTTGGTGCTAGATTTGGCACTACTATTGTGTCAAAGGAGAAAAATGCACAACAAACTCCGCTTACTCTTTCTGACCCTCGGGATTGTTGCAAGCCTCCAAGGAAAAAGGTTAGTTTCTCCACATAAATGCTTACCAGATGTATACCTCAAGGGAATTTGCTTTATGCTTCTAATAATGGCTTTTGTTTTTCAATCCATTTTGGTAGCTTTCTGGAGAAGTCGTCATGGTAGATCGCGGCCATTGCAAATTCACAACGAAGGCTAATAATGCTGAAGCAGCAGGGGCTTCGGCAATCCTGATAGTAAATAATGAAAAAGGTAATTGGTGATTGATGAATATCCACGGACTATGAAATTATGACTATAAAGTATTTATACTATGTGATGTAGTAATTGGATGTCTTGTGCAGCAATAATAAGTTAAAGACACTTGAAGTCTAAAGATAAAAAGTTTCTTATTTCTTCTCATTGTTCTCTTTCTGAGGGGGTTGTGTGGAGCTCTCACTGTTTTCTGTTGATTGAACACTGCCATACCTCACCGCTTGCAGTTGTTTTACGGGTGCCATTTCTCTTGCAGAACTCTACAAGATGGTTTGTGATCCTGGAGAAACTGACCTAGATATACACATACCTGCTGTTATGCTACCTCAGGATGCTGGAATAACGCTTAATAAAATGCTTTTAAATGGCTCATCAGGTAAGATTCTGAGTTTACATGCAGCTTAGATGAGAAAGTACTCGATATCAACATGTTCTAGGCACTGTTAAAAGCTTAATGCAGGGCTAATGATGTGAAGTAATATACTCGGTTACGCCCCTAGGGCTGTGGTTCTATGATAAGGAACCAGAACTCTCTGTAGATTGGGCACACATCAGTGTTCAAACCCAGTAACTGCCACGAGGCCTGGCATGTAAGTAAGAGTGGGGTAGAGGGACATGCATGCCCATAGTCTTCTGAGTTCCGTACCTGTGGACCAACTAGGCTTGTCCAACTAATCCACAATGAATCTTGGTTATAAGAAAATAACAATGACGCGCTTGATCAGAAAAATGCCGGTAAATGATATCTTTACGTGCAGATAGAAGTCAGGTGCTGAAATCATGATTAATTTGTCCTGCAGTCATATGATAGGAAAAGTACTATTTTTCACAGTTAATCACGGTGTGCTCCTGCAACTTCGTGATTGTTACTCTGGGCTACGTAGTGTATTTTTGTACTTCCAAAACTAAACTTTGACTCAGGTCATACTAATATTAAGTACTTACAAAGATTTTGCATTCAAAGAGATAATAAAAATGCCACTCTTTTTTTTTTTTTTTGATAACAAGGAAACCCTTTGGGTGCGAACAGGGTAAAAACCCCGCTTCTATGCAATAGCTTGCAACCACACAGCAGAGGTAACCCGCACTAGGCAAGCCCGGTGCGACGAGCTCGACCCAGAAGGCAAACCCCTTGCTTTCTCTGACAAGGGGTTTCAAGTTTCAAACTTGAAACCTCCAACTGGAAGTCCCAAGCCCAAACCACTGGGCCACCCCCGAAGGGGTTTCGAAATGCCACTCTTTTATGGTGCACAATTTTGTCTAATTACATGCTTATAGTACAAACACTATCTTAAAAGGAAAAATAAGCTTGAACGTTTCAGCTTCCACGGAAGATATGAGCTTGTCATGTAGATAGATCATAGAGTGCTATTTCAATGACTAACCGGTCACGTGTTGGAGTGCCTTGTGTAAACTGATGAACTGTGGAGGAACCTTAATAGTTGAGATGAGAAGTAATTTTCAAATTTGATTGTGCTATTTATAGAAATAGAATGTGAGGGATTCAGCCCATAACTTATCGATACACAAAACAAGGTAAACAGACATGCAAAGGTGAGCAAATGATAATACACATCTCCAGATAGTACATGCATGCAAGTTTGTTGAGAGAAAGATTTGGATGTTCTTTTTATGCTTTGGGATAAATCTAGCTTAGAGCAATATCTTTTTTCTTTCTTTTTGCAATGCTTATATAATTATTTATGTATCTTAGAAAAGCATTCAACTAAGTTAATTGTTTTTAAAAGGCTTTCATAACAAATTTTGAATTTGAAACTCTGGTGGTACTTTATCTTTGATACTGACAATTTTTTTCCGAATCTTTGCTCTTCTATTTAGTTACCGTGCAACTCTATTCTCCAAAACGACCAGTAGTGGACATTGCAGAAGTATTTTTGTGGCTGATGGCTGTTGGTACAATCTTGTGTGGTTCTTATTGGTCTGCTGGGAGTGCTAGAGAAGCAGCTATAGAGCAGGACAAGCTGTTGAAGGTTGTCCACCCTTAATTTAGTAGGAATCTTTGCTAGAGTATGCTGAGTTACTTGCGGTTCAGTTTTGGATTGATTTTTCTATTTGTCTCTTCTTGTAGGATGCTTCAGAGAAAGAGCTTCCAAATTTTGGAACTGGTGATTCAAGCACCGTGATGGATATAAACATGATATCAGCAGTCTTATTTGTTGTTGTTGCTTCTTGCTTCTTGATTGTTTTGTATAAGTTAATGAGGTTCACATGGTTCTTTGAAATTTTAGTGGTTCTCTTCTGCATCGGTGGTGTGGAGGTGCGTGTTGTTGCTTTGATATGTTATTTATCATAAATGATGAATTTGCAATTACCTTCTTGAATACTTTAGCCCATAGACTTATGTTGGCAGATGATATACTTGTCCATATTTGACTGCCTTAGATAATTATAATGGGATAACACTTCAGGCAGGAAATTGGTGCACCTTGAGGGTACACATGTTTTCTTAAATATATGTGTCCAGGATTAGGAGGAGCAATGTTGAAAATGTTATAACTTCTATGATGCGTATACAGGATATGATAAGCAACATTAATGTCTTATGCTAATTCTATCCCATGTGATAGCACAGCCTTGAAATTTGTACCCATAAAACCACTAGATAGTGTAAGGTTCATTCATGACTTGCATAATCTCTTCAGATAAAAAATATAAACTTATGATTAGTTAGTGTTCAGTAAGGTCCCATATTATTTTAATGTAAACCTTTCAAAAATAAATAAATAAATAAATAAATTTTGCATACATATGAATGTATTGTCAACTTATTTCTTTTAGAGAAGCAGATTTCTAATTCTATTATATTTATATTGTTTATCTGTGCCTCTCTTTCTATGACCTTGTTCTGGCTTCCACAATCTGTTAAAACACTTGTTTCGGTTCCTTTCATGTGCAGGGGCTACAAACTTGCTTAGTTGCCTTGCTAGCAAGGTATGGTTTGTTCCACTTTAGTTGCGTTATACATAGTATAATTTGCCGTCTCTCTTTTTTTAATTTTTAAATAAGGTAAGGTAATAGTGTAATTTGCTGTCCCTGAACTTACCATCATGCCTTTTGCAACTCTACATTTTTACTACACAATTAGGATGGACAAATGAGCTGTTTTAGTTGTTAAGGAATCCAGCTTTAAGTTGTGTGATGAGAGAAATTACTAGCATTTTCTTAATTAGTGATTTCTTTTGTTGTATGAAAAAATCTTTAGATGTGACCCCTCATTTCAAGCATAAGCATAACCATATCAGAAGTGAAGAGTTATTTCATCTTTCCAGCATCGGAAGTTCTGTTACCCAATGAATATCTAATTACTTCATGTGCTTTGTTCTTTTTTCAGGTGGTTTAAGCGTACGGGACAGTTATACATTAAAGTACCCATTTTTGGTGCAGTTTCTTATCTTACTTTGGCTGTTTCGCCATTCTGCATAACTTTTGCAGTGGTTTGGGCAGTGTACAGAAATTCTTCTTTTGGCTGGATAGGTCAAGACATACTTGTAAGGAACATTTCTTTCTGTTTCCTTTTTAGCAATGTTTATATTTGTGTTTAAATGGTAGTTTATTTCATATCCCGTGCAAACATTTTTGTTCTTTACAAAAAAGTGTTGAAATTTTAGTGTTATGCATTATCAAGTTTATACACAAATATGACAGTTGTGATTGCTATAAACAAGAGATTTTATCACTGGATTGTTGTCCTTTTACTTTATTGTTTGCTCACCAAAGTTGGATTTCGGCGTCCTAAGATGTTTGACACCAATACGTTTACTGTTTTATTCCATACAACTTTCACAAATTTCAAATTTAGATTTATTTAACACGAGTGTATCCGATTTTCCATTGCTGTTACATGTGTAGGCTATGTTTATTTTACTGTTTGAGGTATATCAACTGATGATCTTACCTTTCTTTCTTTTGGATAGGGTATCGCACTTATAATTACAGTTCTGCAAATTGTGCGGATACCTAATCTCAAGGTAAACAATTTTACCAACCAAGAATTAAATGGAACGAGCTGTATTTCCTTTCATGAATATGCTCAGTTGATCTCATCTTGCAAATTATCTTATAGCCATGCCTGGTTTAAGTTGGTGACTTCATTTTTACTTGTTATCCTAAGTTGTATATTCTTTGTAGTGGCACAAAGAACATACACACACAGAAGCAAGCATTGTTATTACATTAACAAGATGTTTATTTTTCAACCGCAGTTCAAGGATTGATACTAGAAATAGTGGGCAAGTTTGCTTATAAATATAAATTATTATTTTTTTAGAGATTTTCTTCTTCAGTTGTTAGAAGGTCACTGCTTCGGGTGTTTACTATCTTAATTGCCACATATTGATGCTCACTCTACTGGCTTGTCTCTTTTACAGCACGGATTTTACAATGATCTTGTCATCTCATATAAATATTAACTAGTATTAAATATCAGGTTGGTTCAGTTCTTTTGGGTTGTGCCTTCATCTACGACATATTTTGGGTATTTGCTTCTCAGAGTCTCTTCCATGAAAGTGTGATGATTGTGGTAAGTAATCACTTAAGTTCACTTGATGATAATGGGAGTTGCTTCTAGTCTAAGTCAGTAAATTTGAATTTTCCATGTCTTTGAAGGTAGCTCGTGGTGATAAAAGTGGAGAGGATGGTATTCCAATGCTGCTGAAGATTCCACGACTATTTGATCCATGGGGTGGTTACAGCATAATCGGCTTTGGTGACATCCTATTGCCTGGCCTGCTAGTAGCATTTTCACTTAGGTTTGATGTCTGCACTTGCGATTTTAACCATACAAAACTTTGAATTCGTTCATCACTTTATATGCTGTCTATATGGTTTTCTTTGGGAGGGTAAGTCGAGTGGAGGAATATTGTTTTGCATTTAGGCTCGGGACTTGATTCGCAGCTAGAACAGTCTCTGGAAATGAGCTAACCTGTTTTCCTTTCGTAATTTAGTTATCTTTCTGTTATGAGTTATGACATTGAGTTAATACTTTGACATCATACAAAATTCATCATATCCACCTCAGTAGTACACACTATACACATCCAACATTTTTATAATATAGAGAATATAGAGATCTCGGACCCTTTCTTCGCCCTGCTCACACACCAAATACACAACTCCAATATTTCGATAAATAGACACTATAAGAGATCTCGGACACTGATTACAGAATTGTTGTTTATTTTGGTTGTCAACAAAATTTGTTCCTTTCCAGGTATGATTGGCTTGCAAAGAAGAATCTTCGAGCTGGTTACTTCTTGTGGGCGATGATTGCATATGGATTAGGTACTTAACGATATCTTCCTTAGATTATGCCTATTGCTTAAGTTGGAATGTTTTCTGTTCTACAAATTTGAACATATTTTCTTGAATACAATGCAGGTCTTCTTATAACATATGTAGCATTGAACTTAATGGATGGTCATGGCCAACCTGCACTTCTTTACATCGTCCCATTTACCCTCGGTAATTCTCATCATATACTACTTTTTAAGTCGTAATGTAACAACGTTTTTGGTAACCAAACACTGTAAATGACTCTCCCATGGAGACCATTTTCTTGGAAAATGACTTCCGTCATACCAAACACATTCCTAAATCTTCATGAACAAGGAGTTCCTAGTTTCACAATCACTGAACCGATCTATTCATCTTTGTGCAGGGACCTTTTTGATGCTGGGGAGAAAGAGAGGTGACCTGAAAATTCTTTGGACAAAGGGTGAACCAGAAAGGGTGTGCCCACATGTTTGTCTCATATCAATCGAAGAATCGAATCGAGAAGGATAAGAGCAATCTTCCTCTTGTAATTATATATATTATACTGACCTATGTATTATCTGTGCTATCAATCATTCATCATTCTGGTATTATTTAGCTGTTTTAAGGCTTAGCAAAATCTTCAGTTAAGTACATACACATTTGATAAGCCAGTTATTAATGTACAGCTGATTGATTAGCATTTGTCACTTTGGTTAAAAAAGTGTAGTTGCTGCGTAACTTTGATTATTGTTTCATATGATCTTTGCACTGTTTGAATATGCCAGTAAAAAAAGGCACCTCGGTACACTAAGCTCCCGCTAGTCACGGGGTCCGGGGAAGGACTGTACCACTAAAGTCTATTGTACGCGGTTTTATCGTGCATTTCTGCGGGAGTCTGTTCCCATGTGTTTTGAGTATGGAAGTGTTTACACAAAATCCAAACCATTTGACTTAAGCAGCTACAAATTCAACTGTGAATACATCACTTCACGAAATGAAAGATACATGTGTTGCATTCATTGGTTTGATATAAACGCATGATCGCTCTAATGCAAGGTTTGGGGAAGGATCGCACTCCAAGGTTCGAAAAATAATGCATCTTAACTTAAATTTTGATAAATACATATAGATGAATAGTTAAGGTGCATGTAAGCTAGTTTGAATATTACCGTTATAAAAAAAAATGGTGATAGTAATTTTTTTTATGATTATCCCATAGTATATGAATTAAATTATTATAGCATAAAAACACCTTATATATGGGCGGTGCATATTTCATTTTCTTAAAGTTGCTTCAATAATCAAATAGGACCAAAAATATATGGAATATATTAATAATACCTAACATGATAAGTACCCCATATGAGAATAATATTGCACAGTTATTAGCACGACTTTTTCTGTTTATAAATATAAAAAAAATGAAGTCACAAACTCGTTTTTATTTAATATTGATTGAGACATGAATTAATATTATATACACCCTAAGTGTTGGCAAGTACATATTATATATTATACCCCCAAAAAAGATGCTCATATTACCTTATCTTCAACATAATTAATTACATCTCACAAATTAAACATATATGTATTTTGCCATTTCATTTTGCTTTTTCCATCAATACTACAAAAATAAAAATCAACCATTGATAAATTCTACGCTAACAACAACATCAAATTTAGTATGTATGTAGATTTTTTTTTACGTAGATCTCGCTCATATTTTTATAGAATAAATAGACTGTTTCTAATAGATACACGATTCTAGAAAAATATTTTCACAATACGTAGATAATTTTGTAACCAAACAAGAAATTTTGTCGCTAGTTCTATTTAGCAATGAATTAGCAATAAATTATTGAAAAAAAACTTGTTTGTTACAAGAAATTTAACAACAGATTAATGACAAAATTTATTGGCAAATTTTCAAATTTCTTCTTTTTTTTTTTTTAAGAAAAGATATATTGTAGTCTTATCAAAGCACCAAATTCAAATAAGGCACGTCTTTAGCATTGACATTATAATATGGTTTCTTTTTTCAATAATTTTGTTGTTAATAAAATTGGACCACAAATTTATGAAAATAAATGGGTCGGTTTGTTTAGGCGGCTATGCTGACCCATCATAGTAGAAATAATATTTACTAGTATTATATTTGTGACATTTTTTGATGACACGTGGCTAAATTATATGGTTTGGACGGCTTATTATATGTCTACAAATTTAAAATATATTTCATTTTATACATTAGAGTTGAAGTCTAATAGTTTTACTTTTCTTGTTTAATTTATCTGGTATTTGAAATTTATTGATTTCTTTAATTTGAATTTGTGCCAGATAAACTTACTAAAAGGATAAAGTGTTCAATAATTTTTTTTTAATTCTCAAAACTCGAACTAGCTAGAGAATTTTCTTATTCTTTAAAAATTCTTTACTTTACTTTTTCTCCTCCACAATTACCTCACACCAAAACATTAAAAAGAACTCCAAGAGAAAAAAAAGAGTTACATTTTATATAAAAATATAAAATAAAGTAGTAGAAACAAGTGAATGAGACTCACACCAAAACATTGAAAAGCATTCAAAGAGAAGAAAAAAAGAGAGTTACTATATATTTTATATATAATAATACATAAAAGTAGTATAAACAGTGAATGAGAATTATTATTTGAAAAACCCTACACCTTTTAGTGGTTGATATTAAAAAGCTTAAAATTACATTTTTATGTCAAGGAGATAACTTTCATAAAATTACATTTTATTTTATTACTTTCTAATAAAAAATTTAAAGACTTTTTTGTGTTTGTTTGTTTTGGGAGGCATTGATATAAGAGAAAATCAAAAGAGAATATTTGATTGACCCAAAAATATGCAAGATAATGGCTTGAAAATGCATGTGAGTAGGGCACAATGCCAATTAATCATCTTATAAGCATGAGTTGTATAGACCATGATATGCACTTCTCTTTTTGTGTGAGCAACATATATAAAGTTAAATCCAACACCCTCTTTCATAAAAAAATTGGCAAAAAAAAAAAAAGACAAATAGAATTGCCCCACAAGGTGTCACAAATGTTTTTTTTTGGTAGAATATAATAAATATGGACCATATAGTAACTTTCTAAAAAGAGGTGTGCGCTATTTCTTGTGATTTTGGCCAATACATTATCATAATTTTGAAGGGTATGACTTGATGCATTTATTTTCTTAGCAATTGCTACCTCACACACTTTCTACCCTCCAATTTCTGTTTCAATTTATCTGTCATATTTTTTTATTCATTTTTAAGAAAGTACGCATTTTAATATTTTCTTACTTATTTAATCTTAATATTTCATATTGCATATTTACGACACATAAAATTTTAAAAACATTTAAATATAATATACACATTTAAATTCTAAAATCTTATTTATTTATTTTTAAAAATCACGTTTAACCAAAATCAAGACATGAAAAAGTTAACAAATAAATAATATTTTATTTACTCACAAACGATTCCATCTTTCAACCTATCAATTGACAGAATATTTACACATATTATATTCACATTTCCATCTCTTCAACTAAAAAAAGTTATTTTTTAGAAATAAAAAGAAAGAAAACAAACCATTAATAGAAATAAATTGAGTGATTAGTTTATGGGTAATTAGTCTTGTCATTTGGATAAGCACTTCCATAATATTCATCTTTTTTTTTCTTTTTTATTTATTTATGTGCAAAGCATATTGACAACAATTTCAAATAGATGGGCCCCAATTTGATGTCACAGCAAGGAATGACATTGATTGATGATGGCCCATTAATCTCAGCCCATCTTAGCCGTTGGGCCTTAGCCCATGTGCTTATTCAAATGTGCTGTCACTTTCCACAACGGTCACATAATAATTATTTTTTTACGAATAAAACGGCTACATATTTTTAGCCACTCGATTAGCTTCATATTACCAAGGAAAAATTAAAAGACGCAACACGTGATGTGTGAATTTAAACTCGAACAACATAATGTACACAAGCATGATTCTCAAATTTATGTCTTATAATAGTATTTCTAATTTTTATTTTATTTTATACAATAACGTATGTCTCTTATCATACTTTTAAGTAGAGCAGTTTAGTTCTAATCTCCTTCTTTTCATGCTATAGTAGCTTAATCCATGTAGTAATGGTTTGAAGCAGTGTTTTCAAAAACATTTTTTGGGCGAGTTTCAGGGCGGAGCGCACCAAAAACGCATCGGACGCAAATGGAAGACGCAGATCCATAGTGCCAGTGGCATAGCCATAGCCATCCCAGGGTGTTTAATTGGACACCATTCGTCGGAAAATTACGTTGTATATATATGTCAAATTATACATTTAAAGGATATATATTTAAAGTTGGACACCTTTAACAAAAGTTATGCCTTTGGCGTAGTGATATTTGGTGTCCATTTGAATGATGGAGTTTTGGGTTCGAACCCCAAATATCACAATATAATATTTTATTTATTTTATTTTGACAGCCACACACCATTATTCTTGGACACCCTTAATAAAATTTCTGACTCCGCCACTGCATAGGACGCAAATCCTAAAATTCAAGGCGTGTAAAAATATAAAGTTTGAAGCTGTGAAAAGTAAACTATGTGAATGTGAAATGCACGTTAATTTATTTCGTGTTTTGTGGCAATAATAAATACATAATATTAAGAGGTTTTCACTCCATTATGGCTAACAATTTTTAAATTTTGCTTAGCTGCCCACATTTTGTTACAACTATTTCAGAGATTAGGTGAATATAAGTTGGTCTGGACCAGCTAATCAAGTTTAAATTGTTTTCAAATAATAATAATTAACACTGACACTCTGTAGAAGATAAGAATAACAAATAAACCATACAAATAATCTGTCAACATCTTCTCCACCTCATGCCCTTTCCAGAACACTCTTCTCTTTATCATATTTTAAAAACTAATATACTAAGTAGTTTCTCGTTCTTCGATTTATGTTTCTATAGTATTTTTTTTGTAGTAATAAAATTTAGTTTTTTTTACTATTTGTTATCTTTTATATATTCGTTACTTTTTATCTGAATTGCTTTGGACGGTGATTTTCAAAAACCCTAGTAGTTTAGTTGACTACTTAAACTTTCACTTTATTAATGAAGATTCGATTCTTACCTTGTAATTCCTTTCCTATTTTTCATTCCTTTATCCTTGATAAATAAAAAAAAAATGTTCTTTTTAAGTCGAGTGTCTATCGAAAATAGTTTTTTATCTCTGCGATAGAAGTGAAATCTGCATGTTTTTTATCCTTTATCGACCCAAGTTTAAGATTATTTTAAAAAAAATAGAGAATTATTATCAAATATAATCTCCTATCTTTGAAACAGAAGTGAAAACTGCATATACTCTACGCTACATCGAATATGGATCTTACTTTATAAAAATACATTGAATATGTTATTGTGGTAATAGAGGAAGGAAAAAAAATAGATTAGACCAACCCAATAATTAATCAGACCAATTTAATAGGTTTATCCCCACATTTTAGTTTAATTTATTTGTATTATAAAGTGATTTCTCCACTATAAAACAACCACAACCCTAACTATTCTCAGTACCAAATTTGGTTCTTGAACTGACTACTCACAGCACAAGAAAGCAAAAAAAAAAAAGCTTCAATCTTTTGTGAGAAAATGGCAGAAAACAAGGAAGAAGATGTTAAGCTTGGAGCTAACAAGTTTAGGGAAACTCAACCATTAGGTACATCAGCTCAAACAGACAAAGATTACAAAGAGCCACCACCAGCTCCATTGTTTGAACCAGGGGAGTTGTCATCATGGTCCTTTTACAGGGCTGGTATTGCAGAGTTCATGGCAACTTTCTTGTTCTTGTATATCACAATCTTGACTGTTATGGGTCTTAAGAGATCTGATAGTCTATGTTCTTCAGTGGGTATTCAAGGGATTGCTTGGGCTTTTGGTGGTATGATCTTTGCTTTGGTCTACTGTACTGCTGGTATCTCAGGTTGGTTTTGTTGCCCCTTTTCATTCTTGATGCTAAAGACTGTATCTTTACTTGTTTTACTTAAAAGTATGACCTTTCTTTTGAGTTTGTGTTCATTTGGTCTACTGATTGCTTTTGTCAACTGGTTTTGTGGATTGTTGAGTATTTAGAAGATTAAAGATTTAATTTTTTTCACTGTTTTAGAGGTTTGAAACATGTTCTTGGTTTATCTTCTGTGTCTTGATTTTTTTGAGTTGATTCCCTTTATTTTCTCTTCTTTTGCTCATGATATTTGAGCTTGTGTTCACTTATTGTGTATATTTGTCAACTAATTTAATGGATTCTTGATCTTGAGTTTTAGAGGTCCAAAACATATTACTGGTTTGATTTCTGTGTCTGAGGTACCAAAATGGAGTTTGGTGAAGCTTGTTCCTTTACCTCTATACTGTAAAAATATGACTTTTTTTTTGAGTTGATTCTCTTTATTTTCCATTCTTTTGCTCTGTATGTTTAAGCTTTTGTGTACCTATTTTGTATCTGAATACTTTTATTAACTAATTTTATGAATACTTAACCTTCCCTGTTTTAGAGGTTCAAAACATGTTACTGGTCTACTTTCTGTCTAAATTTCACTAAAAGGGAGTTTTCCCTTCCATTCTTTGCTGAAGCTTGTTCCTATACCTTTTTTATACTGAAAGTATTAACACCCTTTGTTACTTATTTGTTTTTTTTTGCATGCTTTTGATCACCATGTTTGAGCTTTTAGTTACTTGTTTTGTACCACCATACTATTTTCAACTAATTTAACAGGATCTTGAGTATACTTCACATAAAGGTTTAGTTTTTTCCTGTTTTGAAGTTCAAAGCATGTTAAATTTTTTGAAAAATGAGTCTTTTCCTTCTTTGAATTTGGGTTTGCTTGTTTTTCTCTAATGCTAAATTCTGTGTGTTTTGATATCAAACAGGAGGACACATCAACCCAGCTGTGACCTTGGGTCTTTTCTTGGCAAGGAAATTGTCCTTGACCAGGTCTGTTTTCTACATAGTGATGCAGTGCCTTGGTGCAATCTGTGGTGCTGGTGTTGTGAAGGGCTTCATGGTAGGACCATACCAAAGACTTGGTGGTGGTGCTAATGTTGTTGCCCCTGGATACACCATAGGATCAGGCCTTGGTGCTGAGATTATTGGCACCTTTGTCCTTGTTTACACTGTTTTCTCAGCCACTGATGCCAAAAGAAATGCCAGAGACTCACATGTTCCTGTAAGTGTTTCCTCTTGTAGTTTCATTGCTTCTTTGTGATACCAAGAATGCTTATCATGGATACTTACATGTTAGTTCTAAGCTAGCGTCTGTCCATAGATTTTGGAAGCAGTTTTTGAAAAATTGTCAAGATATAGGTGACTTTACATTACATAGTTTGACGAGAAGTGAAATGTGATAAAGTAAAAGTGAACGGAGGGGTATTAAACAACCAACTTGCTATTACCATAGATATAGGTGACTTTATTCCAACACTTACCACTACATAGTTTGACTAGAAGTGAAATGTGACTAAGTAGAAGTGAACGGGGAGGGTATTAAACAACCAACTTGCTATAACATGTTAAATTACACTAGTAGGGTAAAAGTTCATTATACTGTTTAATGTATGTTAAAAGTTGAATTCTTGTAAGACAAGTGGTCTTACTTTTTGGTAAGTTAGGCAAAAATATTGGTCATGCTAGCATGTGGCATGTCTGGTTTTGTCAGCAAGTCCTTTTAGTTGGTGTAGGGTTATGTTGTGGACCTAATTGAGTTAGGCTAAAGATAGTGATGTTCATGTGACAAGTTACTGTAACTATGGCCTTTTTTTGTAATGGAGTGACTCACCATGTCAGAATGTTGTGGTCCGTCTCCGATCCATAACACCAAATTTTATACTAAAATCGTGTGCCCAATGCGCTACACTGATTATTTGATATGAAAAATAATTAGGTAATATAATAAAAATAATTTAATCGAGAAATTTGATGTGATACTATTCACATACTGTGATGGAGTGGAGATGTAAAACACCAAATCCAATCCAACACTAAATTTCACACTATTGTAGTGTGTGAATAGTGTCACACCAGATTTGGTGTGACATTATTCGTCATTGCGAATTTTCTATTGAATGATTGATTATATGAGAATAAAAATATGAAATAAAGATAATAATTTAATATTGAAGAGAGAGATGAATATAAAAAGTTAGTGTAGTGTATTGAATACTACACTAAGATGGTGTCAACACCATTTTTTACCCTAAAATGGTGGAAATCAACTCCTATTTATTACATTTTATATCAAAATGGATTTGAGGCTAAAAGGGTTGGACAAAATTATATAGAGTATATACACAACTTTATACATGTTGACAAAATTATTGGCCACTCTTAGCTCACTACAACTGTCAGTATATATAAGTTAAATTCTTGAAGACATCATTCTGAAAATATGCATGTTTATTTTAGATTTTGGCACCACTTCCCATTGGATTCGCGGTGTTCTTGGTTCATTTGGCCACCATCCCCATCACCGGAACTGGCATCAACCCCGCCAGGAGTCTAGGAGCTGCTATCATCTTCAACGACAAGCACGCATGGAGGGACCACGTAAGAAAAACATCTTTCATTCTTTCAAACTAACTCGAACATCACGGTTACTTAAACCAAAAAAAGGAGCTTAATTTAACAGGAGGTTGTTTTTTTATTTTTTTTTATTTTGAAACAGTGGATCTTTTGGGTTGGACCAATTATTGGAGCTATTCTTGCTGCTGCTTATCACCAGATAATTATCAGAGCTATGCCATTCCGCAGGTCTTAAGTTATCTGTGTCTTTAAACAATGGATTCTCAAGACTCAAGAGTGTACCTTTTTCTTCTTTTTGTATTTGTAATGTGGATCTATTCCTTCTGTTAAGATGTTCTATTATGTGTGTAAATTATCAGGTTATGATAATGTAATGTACCTTATCAATGAAGGTTCTTTATATTTATCTTTATACCCCCTCTGTCTCAATTTGTTTATCTGGTTTAGACTTTGTACGGAGTTCAGCAAATTGACGGTGTCTTTAGATACAGACTAGAAAGAAAAACAAGACAAACAAATTGATACGAGAGTTTTAATAGTACTTTTTCACCCCCACCCCCACTCTACCCCTAGATGGGGTAGGTAATAGGTAGAGCTAGCCAAGTAGACAATGATCAAATAGCTAATATAATTGCACTTCTAGGGTGAGGTGTAGCTGCTGAAAATTACGAGTTTCATGCATTAGTTTTGCAAGGGAATTTAATGCCCTTGTTGATATCATCTATTGCTCTTGAGATCATTAAATGGTTTATTGAAAGCGTTAAAAAAGATAACAGTTACAAAGCGGTTATTACTTACTGATTTTTTCACTAACTAGGCAAATACAAGTCTTGTTCAATGTTTTGGTAATAGAAGAATATTAAATCATAACATATATATATATCTTTCTTTATTTGATTTTACCATTCAAAGTATTTTTGAATTTGATTTCTTAATTAATTCGAATCCCATTGGCCATTGGTTATATAAGAACTTAGAATTTTTAGTTAAGAGCAAAGAAATATCATTAATAATTTGTATTAAAACATTTTAATTTTATTTTTTGGGGAGTAAAAGGAAAAAAAGAAAGGCCTTTCAAGTAATCTAGATCAGCAAAAGTTAAAAATAAAAGAAATTACCATCGTAAAATCTTCACCTGCTCAATCAATTCGATCAGAAGATAAGGGTTACTAATGTTAGTGTTTCTTTAACGTGTATTCCACTGTAGAAAGAAATAAAAATTTAGTGGATCATTGCGTTGGCTCTTTTTTCCCTTTCTTGTTTCAAGTGTAAAATATTACTCATTGGTTTTATCAAATCCAAAAAAAATAAAATTTGTCTCTACTCTTTACAAACATAAAACCTAATATATACTCCTCAAATTGAGTCATTTTTCATTATAGAAAAAAAATATATATTACACTGTTGTTTTGATCTACAAATCAATTATGTGGTTATTTGGATTAAAAGGAGCATCTGGTTTCTCTGCTTCATCTACAGCTGAAGAAGTTACTCAAGGAATTGATGCTACTGGACTCACTGCCATTGTTACAGGTTCTAAACTCTTTTTTTTTTTTTTTTTATGACAAGGGCAGTCACTATCTTTTGGGTGCGCAGTTTAGTAACCCTTTTTCCCGATTTTTTTCACTGAGTTATTGGTAATTTTTTGGGGGTGGGGGTCATTCATTTAAACCCTTTTTTTTTTTTTTTTTATGACAAGGGCAGTCACTATCTTTTGGGTGCGCAGTTTAGTAACCCTTTTTCCCGATTTTTTTCACTGAGTTATTGGTAATTTTTTGGGGGTGGGGGTCATTCACTTGACTATATCTTCTCCTGTTTATAATTATTTTTAGAGATCATGATCAAAATGTTTTTAACAAAAACACACTAAAAGTATCAGTTTTTGGCAAGTTTCATACTTTAATGGGAAAAATGACAAATATATTCGAACTATCGTAAATAGTATGTATCACGTGTCCCTATTTAGTCTTCCATTAGAGTGAAGGGTATATATGCTCTAGTTTTTGGACGACACGGGTATCAATGTTTCATAAGTATGATGGAGGTATCTGCATAGCATTTATGATAGTTCAGGGGTATATTTGTCTTTTTTCCCTACTTTAAAGTAGTTGTTAGTACTTTTTTCTAGCTGAAATATCATAGTGTAAGTATTAAAACACACCTAGTTGAATAGACTGCGATAGTTCAAGGAGGAAAAGGGAACAATTGATACTTGGCCTAGTCACCTTTTAGTGTGTTTAATACATGGATGGTGAATAACCAAGAGTTGGGAGTGTGAAACTCATGAAAAAGTGATAGTTTCAATTGTGTTTTTACTTGAAATTCTCATTTCCATGTTGATTAAATTTCCAGGAGCGTCTAGTGGTATTGGTGCAGAAACAACGCGTGTCCTTGCAATGCGAGGCGCACATGTAGTAATGGCAGTTCGCAATGTAAAAAGTGGCGAAGAAGTTAAAGAAAGTATTCTTAAAGATATCCCCCGGGCCAAACTTGATGTAATGGAGCTGGATCTCGGTTCCATGGAATCCGTTAGGAAGTTTGCATCAGAATATAACTCTACTGGTTATCCTCTGAACATCCTAATGTAAGAAAACATTCCTTTTAACTGTTTCACGGGTTCAATACAGAGTCATGATTAGATTTTGCATTCATTTTGGTTCATTGGTATTGCTCGGAACGAATGTCCTGTCCACTCTTCCCTCCGCGCCAATGTGTGAATATTAAGATACTAAATGACTTTTTTTTATTTTTGAAGCAACAATGCAGGGGTTATGGCTCCACCGTTCATGCTTTCTCAAGACAACATTGAATTACAGTTTGCAACTAATCATTTAGGTAAATGAGTTTAACTTTTTGTGTTTGTTTAAGATATCGTAGTTATGGGGAGAGTGTTCACATCCTTCATCAAGAATTTTCACCACATTTGGCCATTCATTGACATTGTACAATACAAGTACTCCCCTTTCTCGGGATTTGGCATTTTATCACTTTGTTTTGCTATCATTCTATGAAAATGGTATAATGGTCAGAGGTATATTTGCTTGTAGAAGATCTTTACATCAATCTTTACTTGTTTCTGTATTAGAGTCCACTTGTTTTCTTTCCTTTTTTCTTAAAAAATATGGTTTTCCTTTTATCCGCTGCAACTTGCCAATTGGTTTTTAAGATGCCAAAAGTTGGACTTGCAAACTGTGTGATCTAGATGTTATGTTGTAATCTATGTTGCTCGGAGTCTCAAAAAATTTTGTTGCACCTGTGTCGTATCCTCCAAAAATATACAACTTTTGGAAGATCCGACTCGTAGCAGGCAGGATTTATGAAGATTCCGAGCAAGATAGGTTGAAATAGATGGTTGTATCTTAAATCCTATTGTGTTTTTCATCTGATGTCAAAACTGAAGTGCAACTACAAGTACCAAGTCAGCTAAGTCTGATCTCGACAGTTGTCTGTGTTTTCCTCTATTGAGATTGTTCTGCTCTAATAGGATGGTTTCAGATTGAAGTATCACTTGCTTTCACCAATATAAGAAGAATAGTAATGTTTTTGCAGGTCATTTTCTTTTGACAAATCTTTTGCTACAAAACCTGAAAAATACAGCTCAAGCGAGCCATAAAGAAGGAAGGATTGTTAACGTTTCATCATTGGGACATCGATTTACATACCGTGAAGGGATCCGTTTCGACAAAATCAATGACAAAGATAGGTATTTCATGGTTGCCATCTTCATATACTTACTCTTCTTCAATTTATAGCTCAGTTGTTATATTTACACATTATATTCAGGATCTGGCAGTAGATGCTTTCTTTGCATAAGAATGTTTATTTGTGTATTTCCAGTTATACGGCAATACTTGCTTATGGACAGTCAAAGCTTGCTAATATCTTACACGCTAACGAACTTGCAAGGCATTTCAAGGTACACTATTGTCTTCTGAGTATTGAAACTTCTTTTAATTTCTGCCACTGGTAACTTGTTGAACATTTTAATATCCAGAGGAAACATTTTTGTTGCAACAATTTAGATTCTCATCTAGTGACAATTTCGAAGTTGAATTACTGTTTAATTTACGAGGAATGTACGTATCTACAGTTTACTTTCCACCATTATATGCAATTTTTTTCTTTTCAGATCATCATCTCGGTAATGAAGTGTAGGAACTAAAGGAATTCTCTTCAAAGAAGTGTTGCATCTTTAAAGACTACCTAAGCATAAGATCTAACAATACTTGTCTTACCTTTCACAGGAAGAAGGAGCGGAGATAACTGCTAATTCACTTCACCCGGGATCAATTACTACCAATCTTCTCCGTCACCAGAGTTTGGTTGAAGGTAAATTCTTAAAATTCCGCCATAGTGGTTCTTATAGTTTTAATGACATCTCATGAAATTTGTATCCTTCAATGAGCTTTAAAAAATTTTATCCCGAGATTAGTCCTGAAACTACCCTTTATAGGTATATGAAATGAAACAAGAAATGAACGTTCTTTCATGAACGTTCATTGTATTAATTGATAAAGGATTTAGTACGACAAAAAACTTCGTTTTGGATATTAAAATCCTTCTAGGGTGCCATACACTATAACCATGAGGAGTTACACCATGCAGGGCATATGCAAAGTTTAGAACCTCAACATGATATAAATGTAGTGTTTTGAAGTCCTACAATCTTGGCAAATTTCATGTTAGTTATTTTTTTTATTTTGGACCTCTTGCAGGTTTAGTTAACTGGATTGGCAAATACTTTATTAAAAACATTCCACAGGTGAGTAGTTTTGGGACAAATATAAGATTGATAACTGTTAGTCACAAGATTTTGTGTTTGTTTCCTCATATATGCTTCTGTGTTGATTCTAGGGAGCAGCAACTACATGCTATGTAGCTTTGCATCCTCAGGTGAAGGGAATAACCGGTGAATATTTTTCGGACAGCAATATTTCTGCATCAACTTCTCAGGGTACAGATGCAGAATTGGCTAAGAAACTCTGGGATTTCAGCTTGAATTTGACAAAACCTCAGTAAAAACAATGTCAATGTTGCTTTAACTCAGTATGTGATCATCGCGTAAACTCTTTTATTTTTCCTTTTCAAATACTTTCCTTGTAATGCACATCTCGACTGGTTTTTGGCTGGGCAAATCTTGCTGGCTTGAAAATTTGAATTTCATGATAATGGTGACATGTATTGTTGGTAATAGCCTCATCTGTTTACTTGTATATGTCTGCAACTATTGTAGCTTCAAATTTAATTCCATCAAGATCTTGTGGATTATATATTGGATAATTGACGATACATTTTGTACCTTGCTTAAAAACCAGAAGGGATGGAAAACATGCTCAATTTCATTTTTGATTGATCAAATGATCCATCCCCTTGTTTAAACACCTGGTATGGCTGAGTTCATAAAACGAAAGGCACGTAAATAGCCAGCATTAGTCATACATGCTTCTCAAACTTACACAGAATGAAAGTTGAACTCACATTCAACTTTAAAGTTTGCAACATGGTTGAAAAATTTGGATTAAAGCTGGTTTTCAAGGATCCATAATACAAGATAGATACAACAGGCTCATAAGAGTATATGAGAGAGCTTTACAATGAACAATTTACCAAAAAAAATATCTCAACCAAGCCTGAGATTCCCCGTCTAATCTTTGAACCTGTCAGTCCTATGAAGTCCAGCCTTGTACAGCTGTATGACCATTTTCTCGTCTCCCCTAGTATTTCAACCCGAAGAAAAAGATCTTATACGCAACGAGGATCCCAAAAGAAAGAGAATTCCTAGCACAGCTGCATGAGGCTCCTAGCATGGTGATTGCTGGAGAACCAAAATAAGCTAATAGTCAAAAATATCGGGAGTGATGTGGAAACCATATGCAAAAACTGTTACAGGTATAAGTAACTTACGATAGCAACTGGGAACGAATAGATTGGGATACTGAGAGAGCCTTCTCCTTTCATCAGCTTCAACACTTTTATTCAGTGAACTACAGTCATTTTGGTATGGTTACTGTACAATTGTTCCATGAGATATCATTCCTTTTCAGGTGGCTTTTACAAAGTTAGACCCCATTATCCCAACTAAAAACAGGAGAGCCTGGGTTCAGGTCAAACGATGGGCTCAATTTTACTTGGTCCCTTAAAAGCTGCTGAGCAACCCTATTAGCTAATACTGACTGTCCCTGATATGGTTGTCCATTAACGCCACTTTGAGCATGGCCCCCAAAATTTTCTCCAAAAAAACCATTGCCATATGGAAGTGTTCCTCGAAACATGTCAGACTTCAGACCGTGACTAGTGTAATCATCAGGGTAAAAACAACTTTGGGCCTTTGGTGATGTTCCCACGTCTTCTGATGAAGAAGTTGTTGACATCATTGGGTTAGATAGTGGAACAGCACCACCACCACCACTAAGAGGTGTTGATGAACCAGATACAGCACGGGGGCTTGATATAGTAGAGGGGGACAATCTTCCACTCATATGTTTAGGTGATTGTGAATGGTAAATAGGGCTCTCTATCCCAACTGGAGAAACTGGGCAAGATCTTGGAACAGGTACATCGCTGCAAAAACCAATTGAATAAGAACATGGTGCTTTTTTTTTTTTTCTTTTGATAAGGAATAAGTGCTTATGCGCAGAGCTGAACAACATTACCATAAATTACACTATTTGACTACCTTGTGAATCTTTTTTGTTATACAGCATTTGATTAACTGCAGCTTTAAAAAGTCAAATGCATGGAAATTACAGTGGGGAGTGCATATTTTTAGGCACAAAGCACATTCATAGGCTGGAGGACTTTCACCAATTAATTTAATTCTTGTACAGATCTATGGTGCCAAATTAGAATTGACTAGTTTCACCATTTTTGTTCTTGTGATAAAGTAATCTGAATTACTATTTTCTTGGTGTCTAGAATGTTTAAAATGGATATACTGCAGAAGATTGTTTTAGTTTCAGTTCTCAAAACCAACTGACTTATGATCATGTCTTTTTCCTAGTGAATAGAATAAGTCATCCGTGTAGAGTTTGACACCAAGATTTAAAACAAAATATACCGTATGATATTTCCTTCTGGAAAGAGGGAATAAAAAGTACACTAATTTGTACCAGTTGTACAAGTAATTGCATACCAACATATAAGGAACACTGGAGCCTTTTCCTTTTATTGGCGATAGGAATTGTCATTTATACAGTTTCTAGAACTAAGGTGGAAACATGTTTTAGTACTCAGATATTTTGTACTGATAATTATGGCAAAAATCTAGCTTCTGCAATAATAGCAAGATGGACCAAGATCAGATTACAGGCAACTATTGTGTGTGAGAGAGAAGGGAACTAACCTAAATCCAGGGAAAAAATTTGAATCTCTAGGCTGATGATGAACTGCAACTTCTTCTGAGCCCACACATGGTGGATCTTTTAAATGTCCAATGCCCTGAAATATCAAAACATGAAGTCAACTTTGAAAAACTCAAGCAATGATCAGCAGAGAACATATGCTAAATTTAAATCATGGCATCCAGTCAGCAGAACATTCACGAGTCCTAAAGATGGCAGATAATGTCACTGGTCCATCAATATTATGAAGAGTTCTCCAGTCAGAGTAACAAGTGTTACTAAGGTACCTATCAGAAGTGGAAAAGGCAAATAGTTTGAGGAAAAAGATGTGTTATGCAAAAGGAGGGAGTACCAGAGAGGTTTTACATAACTGCATTTACGAGAAATAAAAATCTACTATTCCCCGACAAGATCTTAACAAACCAACTCACCAGGCGACCAACAAATGTTCATTTGCAAGCACTTAACTGCTATGGAACCCTTAAAAGTTGACCATCCTTCTGAATTTATTTTGCACATTTTTTGTTTGTTTTTATAGCTTACTATCTTCACTGAGTAGAAATATTCTGATTTGGAGAACTGTCCATGTCATTTCAGAATGCGCTGTTCCTGTAAAGTCCTTGATTGCAAAAGCTATCTACTTTTTCTTGGATACAAATACAGTAAAGTTGATCGTAATACCTTCAGTAATTTCTAATACAGGTATTATAATTTGTTTGTTAGCTGCAGAGAAACTCTAGAAAAAATAAATATCAAACTAGGGAACGTTCAAGAAGAAATGATAAGGTCAGAGTCCCTAATGGAAAAGTAAGCAATGCACACAAACCACAATCATGGAATCAGGCAATGCATGTGATACTTTGAGTTGCCTAAATCCAGACCCCACTTGTGGAATTACATTGGGTATGAGACTTTCAGTTGCCTAAAATGGGCAACATTGCCAGATGAGCAAACTAAGAAAACATACCACTGATATCACAGCAAGCATTAATGGAGGTATTGTTTCTACTAGTTCAGGACTTACAATGAATCTTTCCATTGGAGCAGTACTTTTGACAAAGGGATGTTTCAAGAGCTGAGAAGCTGTTGGACGGTGGAGTGGATTGCGTTGTAGACATTGCCGCACAAAATCCTTGCCCTCATCTGACAGGTGATAGGGAATTGCTGGAACTTCCTTGCTGTTTCCAATCTTAAAAATAGCAGCGACCTACGAAAAAACCAACAGGAATTAGAAGCACGAAGAAAATATAGAAACTGCATACACTTTTGGACCATCATAAACATATTAACTAACCCCCTCATACTGACTCCAAGGTGGTTTTGTCGTTGCCATCTCCAAAACCGTGCATCCAAGGCTCCATATGTCTACCGCAAGATTGCAACCATTTGAATTTTTAATAACCTGATGAATAAACATATACAATGAATTAGATGAAACACAGAGCCAACATCAATAGGATAAGAACTTGATTTATAGTAATTCAAACCTCAGGTGCCATCCAGTAAGGACTTCCCTTGAAAGACAAAGGACAGTATTGACCAGTTATCTGCAAATTGTAACTGCGTAAGCTAAATAAGACCGGCACATAATTATGAAAAAACAAACATTTTCTCCCACACACCACAGTTGATACTTATAAGCTCAGACTTGCTGGAAGATTTTAGTCCTAGGTCCCTCATATTCAAAAAATAGAGGCATCAGAACTGCCTTATTTTTGGTTTGCCCCATACTTTCATAGAAGAGTTCACTATGCAATAGTAACTTTATAGCTGAAAAAGGGGTTCTCGAGAAATCACATATGGGTTGTGTGGAGAGCAAGAAATAGGAGAGCTTTTAAAAGGGTAGAGATGAATTTTGTACAGCTGAGACGTAACCTCTTATCCCTTATTGCCTTCTGGTGCACCCATGAGATCCCTGTAGGTATAGATGAACGTGTGTTGTTTATAGAAAACCATATTTTTTCTTAGGTTTTCTATTTTTTGGTACACTTCTCGTATACAGGCATTTTTTGCCCAGACATCAATATCAATAAAAAGAAACCACAGATGCAGAAAGTAGTCAAGAGCCTGCTGCACAAAGAGATCATACATGTTTTGCCATCCCAAAGTCTGCCAATTTAACGCGGCCATTTGGGTCAACCAGTATGTTTGCTCCTTTAATATCTCTGAACAAAATTTGAATTTAGATGTCAGTCATAAGACATATTTACATAGAGGTTCTAAGAAAATAAATGCTGAAAAGGAACATCATGTATATTGCACACAAGTACTTTTTCAACAATACACCTACCTGTGCACTGTGTTTTTTGCATGCAAATATGCAAGTCCAGACAGAATTTGTTGAGTATAACTTTGAATTGCTAGCTCACCCAACTGACCATATTCTTGAAGAATTTTATAGATCGAACCACCTGAAACATACTCAAGGTATATGTATAGCTTGTCATCTACCTGTAGATGGAACCGAACAAGCATTAAAGGCAATCTATGTCATTATTTAAAGGACAAGGAGATAAAGGGAAACATGTAACATAAATCTTTTTTTACAAGGAAGCAAACTGTAACATATTAAAAAATAAAGTCATGATTTGATATCCTGAGAATACTTTGGTGCTCATCAAACAATTTTTTGGGCATATCAGTAGACTTAATCAACTTGGAATTTAATGAGAACTTTTTATGATTAATTATCACAAAGTGATATCAGCAGTAACAACTTTAAGAAACTTACTGTTTCAGAGCCATAATATTGCACAATATTTGGATGGCGCAACCGACTTAGCAGAGATATTTCCTGACAAATGTTGCTCCAGTTACGGTTTCGTGAAGTTAAAGAAGTCAACAAGAGAAACAAAATGATAATTATTGAGATATTAGTAAAAGCAATATCAGCATAAATAATCATTTTTCTTTTCTCTTTTGCCTCATTTGAGAAGCAAATTAGATATTTCTTTAAAGTAACTCACTTGTCCAAGCTGCTGTGCACTTTCTCTGGACTTTGGGTCGTCTGAAAAAAGTGTTACTTCCTTCATTGCACACATTTCACCGCTTTCACTGCAGATTGTTATCAAATTTGAATTAAAATTAGTGTCTGTTTTGAAAAAAGAGGATAAATTTACAAGAAGAATTCCATCACTTCGGTACTTGGAGCCTGTTTGGATCGCCTTATTAAATATTTTAAAGCTAAAATAACTTTTTAAGCACTTTTATAGTGTTTGGGTAAAACAAAAAAAAGTACTTTTAAGCCAAAAAGAGAAAAATAAGCAAAAAGCTATAAACTTAACCAAACCGGCTCTTGTACCTCCAGAAAATCTTCATTCAAGTAATCTAAATTAAAGCATGCGCATAAATCTAAAGAAAAAACACAATATGAATATTAAACCCCATTGAAGGCAAACATTACAAGAAACAATGGAAAGTATTGATCCATACCAGCTACTGACCTGTTAAAACCAAGGTACACATGTCCAAATGTGCCTCTACCAATCAGACGTCCTTTCTTCCAACGTGGCCCAGGGCTTGGAGGATTACCTGTTCTACCAGGACTTCGTGGAATTGCAGGAGCCATTGAGCATGACAAAGAAAAAGCAGAAGAATGAGGGATTGATATGGGAGGAAGAGGCAGACGATGACTTTGTTGTTTTCCATTATCAAGTGAAGCTGTGGAAGACTCAGCCAACGTTCCTCCAGCTCGAGGATGCAAGGGAGTTACAGCACCACTATGTATCCTAGAGCCAGGACCAGGACTAGTCATTCTAGGGCTAGGTACAGGTGAACACTCAGGACTACACCTACTGTGTGGCCAAAAGGGCTGCGCTGACATATCACCTCCAATCGAATTGTGCCCAGAATTTTGGCCAGAACCTGGACTAGAGCAGTGCCCTGATCCTAAGAAGGTTATCTCTCCATGTGGCTTCCCTAGCCAGAAACCAGAGTTCATGACCGTTTCATGCCCAAATATCCTCATGGGACTTCTTGAAGGACTTGACATCGAGCTGTCAGGAGCACTGTAGGAAGCACCATGATGAGGAATCTGTAAGCCTGGTACATGAGAGCTTAAAAGCCTCTGTCTAGGAGATGTAGGGATCGCCTGATTGTTTGACAAAAGAGTAGCTGACTTCAGCATCTCTCCTGAACTTGCATTGGATGCAATAGGGGATTGAACCTTCTGCTTCAAACTGCAGAAATTGAATTTATTTATTAGAAATGCTCAAAAGAGATACTTTTAAGCACAGCTGTATGTCAAATTGGAGATGGAACAGCAATTGTTACAGTTTGTGCTTACCTGGAAGGACTATTCAAGGCAGTTCTGCTCCCATTTTCATAATCAGATGTTTGGGGACTTAGAAGCCGTGAGTCAGTTTGATCATCACTGTCACTGGAGCTGTCACACGAAACAGAAGCAGTTGGTAAGTCCCTGTCAACGCCTGCAGCAGCTGGTCCATGTGGAAGATGCCTGGGCATGGGAAGAGGCAAAGTCAATGATGACTCGGAGACTTCACCGGTCACTAATATTATGGATGCACTGTTATCAGAGTCGACAAGATGTACATTAGAAGAGTGACCCTCAGGAAGAGGAAGTGGTTGAGAAGAAGTCCTATCAGCAAAGACTTGACTGCGTGAATCTGGCGTAGATGGTGATGGTGACCTTGAAACCCTTGATTGATAACCCTTCACTGAATTTGTATCTTTATGTCGTCTTCGAGATGATCCAGATTTACCACTTGATTTTTCCGTGGTGAAAATCTTCAGTTTCCGATTTATTATGTCAATGAAACTCTCCTTAGTGGATTTCCTCCTAACATCCTTAGATGAAGACTTCCCCCACCATGAACGCATTGCTATATAAAATTAGCGTGGGCAAGAACAGTCAGCTGTTGCATGTACCAAACTTTTAGCTGGATACAGGCAGCTAAATTGTTAAACTCTGTGAGGAATCCCTTTGGATGCTCATTTTTCTCATAGAAGTGCTCACACTGGCTAGTTCAGCCCGTCAAAGAGCATCAAGGATCATTTCTAAACACTGCATGCACCTACAACCATTAAATAACTTCAGAGATTTTTGATAAAGTAATGAACTGTATTCATGAAGGGAAAAAACACACCCGTATACAAGTAGTATACAAAATTTTGAGAGATTAAAACTTCTAAAATTTAGACAGTTCAAACGACACAGATTATCTCTACGGCCATCTGCAGGAGATTATGGACTAACCAACAGCACCCTTCAGCTACTAATGTCTTTGCAAGCATGAACAGGTAGAAAACCACAAAAAGTATTCCGCATATTAATAATTATCAAATAAATATTCAGCAAGCTAATAATTTCAGCACAACAGTTTCATCCAATTTTTCAGTTCTAGTAAATTCAAAAAAGAGAGGGGGACAACAGAAACTAGTGATCCATCTCTCAAAAGGGAAAAGGTCTAAGAAAACTAGAAACCTTTGAAATTTTAGTTAGCTCTTTGGAAGATTAGAACAGAAGACTCAACTTATAGCTCCTACAATAATCATAATCCATAATTTTAAAAGTATAATTCTAGAAGAAGAATCATCTTACAAAGGCTTAAAAGTCAGTCTTGACTCCTTGTGGCACAGCAGATCAAAGAAAATTACCATCACACCAGACAACTGAGATAGCAGATGCATTCTCTTAAGCTTCCCGAGAATGAAATCAAAAGGCAATCTCTTTGTTACCTAGAGTGTATAGGCTGCTCATAGAAACAAGTATTACATATATCAGATTTTTGTACTAACAAATTTACTTAGAGAAAAAGGAAAGGAATTATGATGCTCCTAGTGCTCATAATAGATAATCTGAATATATTTCGTTACAGTTCCCAGTGGATATGCTTGAATGTGCTAACTGAAGCAGTTATGCAGAAGAGGTTTCATAAGCACAATGAACAACTCAATATACATGTTTGTGTGTGTGTGTGTGTGTGTGTGCGCGCATATGTACACACCATTAGGCACACAATTACAGCAATAGACTTCTCTAAATTATACAGTAACTTTTTTTAAATCAATATTCCGCAGAAACTGAATTCTTTTCTTTCTTTTGACAAACCCGAAGCCGAAACTATTAGACTACCAAAAAAACATAATTTCCCAAATTTTACAGATCATAATTTTCCTGAGTTCTACCTGTGGAAGCAATCAAAGTTCAACTCTGATCACGTAACAAGAAAGGATCAACTCAACTAAAACTTAACCACCAACTAACTGCAAATAAACTAGAATACCTGCAACTTATACCTAAAACTGGGCTGACTTACCAACAGTAGAAACGCTAATTTACTTGACAGATTAGCAGGAAAGTGCTCGAGCAGCACACCACACCGAAATAGGAAACAAAAGAGTCAAAGCCCTAGCTTTTAAGACCTGTAAAAACCAAACTTGCCTGAATTTCACCAGTGGAAGCAATCAAAATCAATTCTTGATCAACAAACAAGAAAATAAAACAGCTGAAATGAAACATTCAACATCCACTCCTTGCTAATATAACTCAAATCATTTGAATACATTACTGTAATTGGTACATTAACAATGGAATATGTCAAACCCCTAGTTTAAATACTTGCAAAGCTCAAAAATCCATTGTTTGATCCATAAACAATTTATTTTCTTAAAAAAAGCTCAAAAATGAAACCTTAAATACCCACTAATATCAAATTAAAAAACACAATTATGTGATGTAAATCACTTTAATTAGTACGTTACAGTGAAGTAAACTAAAACCTGAGATAAATTACGCAATAAATCAAAACCCTAAATTCTTGAACTTCAAAATTTTCCCAAATTCAAACAGGGGAAACAATCAAAATCTGTTCTTCATCCATAAATACTAAATTAAAGCTCAAATGAAACCTTAAACATCCCCTAACTCCAAACAAAAACAGAATTATGCGCATAAATCACTATAATCAGTACGTTACAGAGAAAAACACAGAATCTAAGTTGACTTTTGCAAAATGTCAAAGCTCCAGTAATTTACGGGTCAGGAAGAAAGTACCTCGACTATCATACCGGCCGACCCGACCCGAAAAAGATGGACCTTGCGGTGGCGCCGGTTGCCGGAGAAAATGAAAGGATTGAAGTGAGAGAAGAAGAGAGTGTGCATGGAGAGAAAAAGGCTATACGTGTTGAATGGTAAATGACATATATACCCTTGATGTCAGACTTTTGAAGTCAACTGTTTTGACTTTGTTTTTTCCTTTCTAAATTTGTCTTTGACTTTTCTTAATAAGAAAATAATTGAGAAACTTACCAAAATATAAACTATCAAACTTATTTATTGATCAAAATTTATATCGTAAGTGATTACATAAGTTGTATGTATGATTTATGTAAGCAAAAAGATTTACTTTTGTTCCTCGTAAAGTTAAAATTACTTTTGTCTTCTATCATAGTCAAAATCTGTATTATTTTTTCTATCTCAAAATATATGTCATGTTTATCGATAATTCTAAATTTTGTTACCTACAAATAAGATGAATTCTTACTAGTAATTCATTTTTTTAGTTAGAACTTTAGATGGTTGTCGAAAAAAATAAATAGTGAGAAAGTCTAATCTATATTGTTGCATTTAAAGCCGGAAATGTTGTTGTGAACATGAAAGCTACATTTACTAAAGAAATGTAGGGTATATCATGCCCTCCTGTGGACATGAATTATTATGAAATAAATGGATTATTTTAATTAAAATCTACAACAATTTTAAAAAATTAGAGTTTTTATTTTTCAAATTAAGCTCTGAGAAAATCGAAGTCGCTATTCTTTTGGGTGTGCACTGTATAAATTCAATTTTGTATAATAGCTCACAAACCACAGAAAATATGTATTCCTCACTAAATAAATATGGGTGCGACGAGCTCAATTGAGAAAACGTTGACACAATTGATTTCTAAGTTTCCATAGGGTACCACCTGTTGTATCGATTCTTCCGCCCTTACTAGTAAAAAAGAAAGATTTCAACTACGAAACTTGATCCACAAAATCTTTTTCTTAGTGGCAAATTATTGATTCACTAAACAATTATCAATATTGGCAAAAATATTCTCTATTATACTAGACCCTTTCTTTGAACTTTTCGAATAGTTGTACCACTATATATGGTATATACTGGCTAATTATTAAAAAAGTGTATCCATAGGAGAATATCAAAAGATGCATTATTGGGTTCAAGTAGCATTATCGTGGAGTTCAGTGAAAGGCCACATCCCAAGAGGTATAATATAAGCAACACATTTTGACGGAAGTATCAGATTCTACGATTCAAATATGTTACCTATAGATCAAACTATGACCAGACACTTCAATTTGTACTACAAGACATTATACTGCAAATCTTTTACTAGCCCCCATAATGTACTACTATAGGTAAGATTCACAAATAGCCACTTTTAAATTTTCATTTATGAAATTTAAAACTCCATAACATTGACTATATTTTAAAGACAAGATCAAAAAATGGAAAGGGAATGTTTTTTCCACATTATTAATATATCATTGTACAGAATCATAAAATCACAAGTACTATATTTTATTTCACAAAATTGAAGTACAATATCTATATATAATAATGTATTGACATGGGAAAATGAAAGAGTGATAAAGGGAAACAAAAAAAGGTTAAAGATGTAACATCCAATTTTGGAAAAAAGTTATATATCAGGTCTACTGTTTAAATAAAAGCCTGATAGACATTATTTGTCTTATAGCCACATTTCATATGATCAAGTAGTTATGAAATAACCTTTTACTATATATAATTATTTTTTACCATATGATTTTCACTTGCAAGATTCATAAATCTTCAAGCTGCAATTCCATTTACTGCAATGGCTCCTGTTTGATGAATACCATTATTGATTATATGCTCTCCACCACAAGAGTGGTCAATTTTGCAAAATTTCTCAATTTTGGCCAAAATTGGAGTCAAGTCTCTAGGGGTAACATTCATAACTAGACCGTATTTCATGAACAATGTCAATGACATTTTTTGCTCCACCTTGTGGCCCGGTGCCACCGCGAGGCGGTGGCGGAGCAACACTGCTGCTGCTATTGATTTCATTTGCAAATATGCCAAGTCTTTGCCTAGACAAATTCTTGGTCCAGCATTGAACGCCACGAATCTGAATGCATCTTGAACTTGGTACTTGTTACCGTCTTCTGACATCCAACGTTCTGGCTTGAATTCTAAACAGTCTTCGCCCCAAATGAATTTCATTCGACCGGTTGAGTATATGGAGTATGTGATATTTGAACCTGATGGCACGAATGTGCCATCAGGTAAATAGTCATCAGAAATGACATGTTTCGAGTCCTCTGGCACTGATGGGTAAAGTCTTAGGGTCTCAGATAATGCTGCCTTGAGGTATGCCAATTGGTCAACTTCTTCAAACACTAGGGGCTCTTCCAACCACTTTGACGTGTCGTTGCCACGTGTCTCCACTAGGACCGTGCAAAGCTCGACAAGTATTTTTTCCTCCACTCTCGGGTTCAAGCTGACAAGCCAAAAGAACCAGCTCAACGCGACAGATGATGTGTCACGTCCAGCTAGGATGAAATTAAGTGCCACGTGTTGGAGAAATTTGTCGGAGTATGATTCTTTTTTCTTCATGAACCTAGAGAGCAAGTCGTCATGCTGGGGGCCGCCATTTTGATGATTCATCAACTCGAGCTTACGTGTATTGATGATATCGGTCATATAATTGTCCAATTGTTTCAAGCTACGGCTCAAGCTCACCTCCACTCCAAGTCCAAGCATTTTCTTCAACTTCCAAATGAACTCAGGTATAATAAACCGATGCAACGTGGCTTCTGTGGCTCGATCAAATGACGTGGCAAAAATATTCTCAGGTAACCCTGGAGAGAGCGTCTCTGGATCTTTACCAAAAGTCAAACCACAAATGTTATCAAAAGTAAGCCTCAGGAGAAGATCCTGAAGTTCAACCGGCTTGCCCTGAACCTGAGCCATTTCAAGAATCGGGCAAAATCGATTCTTAATAGCTCGGTTCACCCATCGACCCATAGCCTGCCTCAAGGTCCGCGTGGTGAATTCCAGCGCAGCAGTCTTGCGCTGGAATAACCACGTGTCACCATCTGAATTAAAGATACCCTCACCTAACAAATCATGAAACACAGCTTGCCAAGTAGGACCCTTGGGGTAATTGTCAAATCTAACCTTCAAAATATGTTCTAAATTTTTTGGATCGCACGTGACCGTCACGAGACCTTGCTTCCGGGCTAAAAAGGGAATTGCACATATGCAAGTTTGGTATGTACCGGTGCAAACCCGAAGATTTTCGGCGATCCATTCATGCATCCGGTTACCATTTTCAAGCAGGCCGGGTAAACTTCCAACTATGGGCCAAATTTTTGGGCCTTTGGGCCCTTTCATGGATTTTGTGATGGACTTGAACCAAAGTAAATAGGCCGCTACAATTGCTACAATCATCATACCCGTTGATAAATCCATTTTACCCTACACAATAAATAAAAAAATTAACTAAAAAAATAAAAAGAACAAAAAACATTAGCTTTAAGTACAAACTTTGTGAAAAAAATAGACTTTTTTTTATAGTTTGAATTTCGCCTATAAAAGTAGTTTTTTTCCAAATAAATTTAGCACCAACGAAGAAATAATTTAATTAGTAGCCTCAAAAAAGACCACTTTTCGCAAATGATTGTAGACAATAATGTAAGTAAGTAAATAAATATTATCTCAACAGTATTTATATTTAATCTAATAAAATACTGTGGGATGGAATGGGGTAAGGAAGTAGAGGTTCGGGGTTGGGGACATTAAGATAATGAACTTCGAATGTCACTTATATATAAAACTTATTTTCCTTACTTCTATCAGAAAAAAAAACTTCCATTATTAAGAAACGTACTTTTTCAAATTATTTGGACCAACCAAACATGAAAAATCTAAAAACCATACCAAACACACCACCAATGTTTCTGTTGGTTTTTGGACAAAACAAAGTTTGGTTTTACTTTGAGTTGATTTAATTTCAAGAACATTTTAAAACTAAATGTCACTAAAAAAAATATAGCATATAACAAGAAAATTCCATACCTTACAAGAATGGTTGTGTTAACACTTGGAGATTCAACAAAATCAATAAAAAGATGATAATTTTTTTAAAAAGGAAAAAAATGTGAAGTGAGAGAAAAGAGAGTTGTGAGTGACAGAGAAGAAAAGAAATAAAGTGATTTATAGAAGTTAAGGGGAAGAGGATATAATAAATGAAGGGGCCTGATTCTTGTTGGGAAAAATAAAATAACTCAAGAATACATACAGTATAAACATATCACACACACACACACACACACACACATATATATATATATATATATATATATATATATATATATATATATATATATATATATATATATATATATATATATATATATATATATATATATATATATATATATATATATATATATATATATATATATATATATATATATATATATATATATATATATATATATATATATATATATATATATATATATATATATATATATATATATATATATATATATATATATATATATATATATATATGATTTATATGCATGATACATGTAAAATTAAGGGTCATGATTGAGTGATAAGCAGAGTCGGATGTAGAATTTCTAGAATATGAGTGCATATAATAACTCGATCAACATTTCAATTAAGTGCACCTTTAAGTCATTTTAGAAAATGGATACCAACAAATAATATTATATCAATTCTAAAAGATTAAAGGTCGGAAATGCATTTAAACGCTCTCAGTATTTTGAGTTTCAACTTAAATTATTGGGAGTGTGATTTTTCTATTTAAACTATCACTCAATAATTAGCGAAATACCTGATTTTGCAGAAAGATCATGAGTTCACTTGTGAAATTATTCTGGATATGTGTTATTGTACCATGTGTTTACGTGCATTGAAATTAATCCAACAAATCTGCCATGATGATAATGATAAGTACTCGTTCATCCTTAATCAGAAGTTCTTATATTTGAGTCATGATCATGGAGTCGTCATCGTCTTTGTTTTCTCAATGTGATTGAAACTCTCGATCAATACAAATCTAAATTTAATCAAATTCTAATATAAATATCAAATACCATCGGATCATAAATGGAGATGGTGTATGAAAAAAACAGCTTTAAAAGCAAATAACAATAAATGCCAACAGAGGTCGTTGGAGAGTATACAAATATAGCCAAAGAAAAAAAAGAGTTAATAACTGAAAAAAAGGTATACACCATTAACTAAGAATCACATGCACATATAATATGTCTCTAATGGCTATTTGTTGGAAGTTCCTTCAATTAATAGTCTCCATTATAGGCAAATGTTGAAAGATACTTTCTAAGACTTTTTTCTTTCATTAACACTCGATCCTCTTCAGACTCCACATATACGATTATACTGAATTTATTATTATTATATACTATTATATATTAAATTTTCGTTATTCTCTTCAGACTTCACATATATAATTATACTGAATTGTTATTATTTTATACTATATATTGAATTATCGTTCTTTTTGTGTGTTTACTTCATCATATTTTGACTTCCTAGTGAATTTCATAGTTCTCTCACTAATTTAAACAAACTAATTTGGTCTAAAATTAAGTATCGTCTTAAGAAATCAAGGTGAACTTTTCTTATTATAATATTATAATCTAGTCAAATACCTTTTATTTAGAGTATAATATTATTAAATGGTCTTCTTAATAGATGTTGTTTTAAAGTTTTGGGATAAGAAAACCGTTCAATTGTATTAATAGTAAAAAGATTATTTGATTAAATTACTCTTTCATCTCTTCAAACTTCTTAGAAAATTATGTAGATCATTTATTATAGGGATAAGGGTCTAAAAAATATTCAACTTTGGTCAAATTTGCTGTTGCGATACTAAATTTTCATGAGGACCTATTACTTCCCTAGACTATTTAATACGTATTTTTTACCCCCTGAACTATTTAATAGTGTATTTTAAAGGTTAATATGTGCCTACGTGGACACATTACTATTTATAATTTTGCATTATTTTTTATGTCCACGTGGGCAAATATATATGTTTAAAATACGATATTAAATAGTCTAGGGAAGTAATAGGTCCTCATGAAAATTTAGTATCGCAACAGCAAATTTGACCAAAGTTGAATATTTTTTAGACCCTTATCCCTATAATAAATGATCTACATAATTTTCTAAGAAGTTTGAAGAGATGAAAGAGTAATTTAATCAAATAATCTTTTTACTATTAATACAATTGAACGGTTTTCTTATCCCAAAACTTTAAAACAACATCTATTAAGAAGACCATTTAATAATATTATACTCTAAATAAAAGGTATTTGACTAGATTATAACTACCAAGGTAAAAATGGAAAATAATAATTAATGTCTTCTTAATTTCTAAAATACTGAATTGAAACTTTGGACAAAATTATTTTGACTATAGTGACAATTTTTGGGGGGATATTCATCTTTGGCCTAATTAAATTGTATTTTTCTTAAAAATATTATTTAATATGTATAATTTATCAATTTTAAATCAGTACTAACTCAAATCGAAACTTGTAAACTTTAAATCTTTTCTGATATTTTATTTGTTTAGGTACTTTTTTCATTTCCTTTCCTCTCACCTATTGTCTACAATTAAAAAAAAATAGAGAAACAAAAATGCAACACTCACCTAATTTTGTAGGAACGAGTTCCCTTTCTTAAATTCAAGCATTAAATATGAAGGAAAGAAGAATAAGTTAATGAGATTAGTTGAGAAAATTATACAAAGACAAACTATATACTCCCTCTGTCCCTTTTTAGTTGTCCACTTTAGAAATGACACACAGATTAAGGCAACAATGATTAGCACAGTGAAGTTACAATTTTGCCCTTATGACAACTTTTCACTTCAAAATTACAACCACTTCTTTGAATTCAAGTGAAATAAATTGGAGGGAAACAACATACACTTTTAGAAATTTTCAAGAAGTGTAAATAAGGGTATAATAGGAAAAAAATTGTTGTCCTTTCTTGATTTGTCAAAATGGACAACTAAAAAAGGAAATATGGAAAACTAAATAGGGACGGAGGGAGTACTTAGTACAAAATAAAATAAAATAAAGTAATATTAAATGGAGTTTTTTTTCTTATTTGGGGAAAGAGACATTGACAACCGGCATATGTCAAGGAGAGAAAAAAAATCAGTTGGATTTCAGTGAAGAATGTTTATCAATAATATATTTATATATATACACGTAAAGTATACGCAGACTTTATTTCTATCTTAAAAAATAAAAAAAACTATTTTGATAGACTTTTGGTTCAAGTTAATTATGATTTGGGCACTACTAACTAGCAAACATATACTCCCTCAGTTCATTTTTACTTGTTATATAATTTGGACTTGACACAAACAATGACTGATCGATATTGTTATTTTATCATACTATCTCTATTAATTGTTATTTGGTATTAGATTTTAAAAAATAATTTGAGGAATTAGTAGATAGTGTTAAAGGTAAAATATGGTGAAAAAAATAATTTATTTTTTTTATATGTTAAAATTGACTATTTTTGAAATAACGAACAATTAAAATGACGAGAGAGAGTTGCTCGGATGGTAAGCACCCCTCACTTTCAACCTGAAGGTTGCGAGTTAGAGTCACCAAGGGAGCAAAAGGGGTGGAAGCTCCTAGAGAGGGTAAAAATAAAAGAAAAAAAAACAATTAAAATTGAACGGAGGATATATTTTAAAGAAAAGTTGAAAGTGCGCTAAATTTCTTACGAATTTATAACATTAATTATGATTTGAAGCTAGGAAGTACTTATATTTGAAGATTAAAAGTTGAAGTGCACTAAACTTAAGAATTTACAACATCAATTAAAAAGTTGAAATGCATTAAATTTCTCCATGACATTAATTATGATTAATTTTGAGTGCTATATTTCAAATGAAAAATTGAAGTGCACGAAATTAACTTTTTACTAATCCCACCACCCCTAATTAATACTCCCTTCATTTTAAATTAATTGAATTGTTGAAGTGTTTCACACCCTTTAAGAAAAGAAGATTAAGACATAAATTAGACATAACATTCCATTTTTACCCTTATTAATTATTGTCAAATTTATAATTAAAATAACTAAACACTAATTAATAATTAATTCCAATATTAACTAATGAAGGATAAAATTGGAAGAACGTTCTAAAAATAGTCTTGAAAATTGAACAATTAAGTTAATTTGAAAAATGAAAAATGTCTCAACAATTCAATTAATATGAAATGGAGGGAGTAACGTTAAGCAAAAGGTGTTTGATTATAAAAGGAAAAATCCTTTTGGCCAGAATGATATTTTACCTATGTTATTTTTATCTTTTTCGACATTTTTACCCTTTTAATTTTAATACATTTTAATTAAAAATGGAAAAAAGATCAGTTTATTTTTAAATAAAAAAGATATTACAATTTTTTTAAATTTCTGGCTAAATTTTCTGTCCATTTAACATTACCCATTATAAAATTAAACTAGTTAGACTCGACTTTAATTTGTTTAATTTATTTTGAGATAAATATTATTAATATAACTAAGAACGATAAGTATTTGAGACGGAGAAAGTATTAATTATGACTATGATCAAACTCAAAAGCATATATTATATTATTAGTAGTACATAACTTGAAACTAATAAACACTCAAAATAATTTTGATTTTGTTGATTACGTGACGAGATCAGTTTGCATGTTCCTACAGAATTAGCATATCTTAAATATATATTTTTTTGGTTATTCGTGTCAGACTTGTCTCTAATGGCGGCATTTTATTTTAGTGGTTCAAATTTAAGACTCCGATAATTAAGAGTAGAGAAATTTTGACTATCTCACTAGAATTCATGTTAGTGAAAATTCTAATGAATATAAAATGGTTTTCGTGTGTGGAAAACTTGGGATAAAATATTAATAAGTCAATTATTTAAAAGTTAAGAATGAAAAATGTTAAACAATTGTAACTTGTAAGGGTTAAATTAGTTTCATATTTAGCATATGTCTATCCACATTTACGTCTAAAAAAGAAAATTATCATATAAAAATATAACACGAAGACAGAAGCATATTTAATTTGCTCTTGAAATGTTATTTGCTTTAAGTCTCCTCTCTTTTTATATATATAATAACTAAA